TCAGAAGCTAAGCAGGGTCGGGCCTGGTTAGTACTTGGATGGGAGACCACCTAGGAAGACCAGGTGCTGTAGGCATAAAAAATTAAAAAATAAGGGACTGTAAGCTGACAAGGTCCTTGAAATCTGTGAGGTCAACCAAAGGTTGCCTCACCTAAAAAAAATTAAAAAATAAAAAAAATAAGCCATAAAGAACACATAAGTGATGGCAAATGTAGCACTATATTCAAATAAGTCTCAATTTTTAAAACCTAGACTATGTTGTTGTTAAGTAACCACTGATGCTAAAAATAAGCTACAGGCCAAATCACAAATGAGGAAATCCTTTGATATAAACTTATTTTTTTATCAAAAAGCCCCAATATCTCCCACCCACTCCCCAAACACTACTGCCCAAAAGCAAAATAATGTATTATAAAACACTTTACTAAACTGTCCCTCCCTAAAGAGTTTCATTTTTATGTAATCTGAAAGTGCTGAGAAAAGTCATTTTAACATTTACTTTCATGAGTAAGGACAAGAGTACAAAGTGCAAGTTATAATGTTCTTTTATCATATCAATGTTGATAGAAGTTCCAGCAGCAATCTGAACACTTGAACAGGATAATCTTGCAGCTGCAAACTCCACTTCATGTTTCCTTTCTTAAAAAGCTAGCAAATAAAATACAGGGCAGGAAGCAGTGTCATAAAAGTAGGAAATATTGAATCCTAAGGAAAGAATGTCAAAGGACAGTGCTAAAATCACTTCTTAAAAGATTAGAATTCACAAGAAAGAAATCCTTCAAAACGCTGAACATTCAAAAATAAATACATGTTTTTATGCCATTCCATGTTACATACAAAATTCACCCAGGTAATTTAACAGTTACGTTAGCTATCAAATTTCCTTCCAAGGTCAAGTTTGATAGTTACGAAGTAGTGGTATTGTTAGAGTGTGTGCCATTTTACCAAAAAAAAAAAAAGTCTTCAAAAGAAAAATAAAATTTGCATTATGACCTTCACACTTTATTACTAGGTTCTTCTCAAGCCAAATAAAATATATAACTTACAGACCCAAGACTGAGTAACAATTTTCTGATTAGCAGAAAGTTTTTTTCCCCAGATGTCATCACTAAATTATATTCTCTAACTGGTTACAATGACAAAACATTTCCATATATATACTAGCTGTTGGTCAGGCTATGTTTTTAGAAATATTCTAGGATGATGTATTTGTAATTCAGTGGCTCCATGTTTCTATCATTTATCCAGGATTGATGTTTTTGTAAAAGTCTTTGTATGTTAAATAATTCTTTTATAGAAATTCTTTCTATAAAAAAAGTTCTCACATTAATCTCACCCTAAAAAAAGCAATTTCTCTTCAATGTACACATCACACATACACACACACACACACACAAACACACACACACACACACACACACACACACACCTGTTGCCATGTGGTTTTTTGCAAAACCCACACTGCTTGCTGGGAGTCCACATATATTTGCTTTCAAATGAAGAGCTATGATCTGAGCCTTCTCTTTTTATGGTAGCTATGTTATCTGGAATGAACAATGGTGGCTCATCCAAAGAAAAACTTTTGCTGCTTCTTCTTTGGCGAGGTTGTAGGTTCTTCTCAGGTTTTTTTAGTTTCAGTTTATCCTCCTCCTTAAAATGTTCTATACCACCAGCATGTTCAAGTACTTCCTTTACATGACTATTGGTTTTCACTGCTAGAGCCAGCTGCTGGGGTTTATGGCACTGTTTCTGGCAGGCATGTAATAAATGTCCAGTTTGTGTAGGAGGATGATGTTCTTTAGAGCAACCAGGATGACCATGAAGTCTATCACTCAAAGAATGAGTTACAGGTTTAGAAATTTGTACTAAATTTTGATCTTGTTTTTTTTTAGATATAGAATGAGCTTGATTTTTCAAAGATTTAACCCCAGAATTGAAACTCTGAATCTTTAAATCCTTATCAACTTGTTTTTTTCTCACTTTGACTGGCCTATGAAAATTTTGCTGAGATTCTGGTTCATCTGCATTTCGTTTCACACTTTTGACATTAACTTTAGCTTTGTTATGCATTAATTCATGCTTTGTTGCAACAATTTTTTTCAGAGTATCTGTGGTCATATTTTGCTTAGAATGAATTACAAGTTTTGTGTGTTTGGATTTTATGTTTTTTGACTCTAAGCAAGAAACACTACTTGAAGGGCTGTTTCTGTCATCTTGAAGGTTTGCTGTTTCATGAGAATCCATTTTAATACTTTCAACAATATTCAACTGTTCTGAATTTTGGTCAGGTGCATTGCAAATAGCATTTTCTAAAATATTACTTTCTGGTTCAAAAGCACTTGTATCAACCACCTCTAAGTTTGAATTATCAAATTCAGTGTTCTCCAACTGCTTATGATTAGACTCTATGTCTTTACAATAACTCAATGGTTCTACTTCATTTCTATGAAGGGAGTTCTTAGCTTTATCAGGAGTTTCCATGGTATTCTTCAATTCCAAATTACATTCATTTACTTCATCCACAGAACTGGACAAACCTACAAGGTTTTTTTCAGTCTTATTTGGATTTGTATAAGCAGCATCACCAGAGAGAGCAGCAGAAGATGCAGGTTCCTCAACAATTTGGTCACCTTCATGGGATAATTTTACTATTTCCTTTGATTCTTCTTCAACTTTTCCTTTTGCCCTCTTTTCTTCAACAACAGTCTCATCCATTTTATCTGAAGTAGAATCATTCTGTTCAGGTTCTTCTTTATCTGAAAACTTAAATAATGGGCTACTAACAGTCTTGATTTTACATTCCATCATAGCTTCAGTTTTCTTTTCTTCAATACTATCACAAGTCTCTGAAAGGAGTGGACAATTTAATTCATGAGATGGCACATTTGCCTTTCCTTGATTATTACACTTCTGCTTAGAATCTAATCCAGTTTCCTCCTCCATTTCAAGACAAGATGGCACTGAAGAATGACTTAAAGACACAGATACTTCTGGTACCGCTTCAATTTGTCCAATATGTCGGCTGCTTCTTCTGCTCTCTTTATGGTACTCAGATTTCGGTGATGTACAAGCTTCTTCTTTACTCTGACCCCTTTCTGGTTGTTTCACCCCTGCTTTAGGAGCAGATACAGTCTTCACAGATGCTTTTTTTGTGCTATTTAAAGGTGCTGTATTTGAACGCTTGGCAATAGTGCTCTGTCGCAAACTTCTTACTTGTTCTATCACAAGGGAAAAAAAATAAATAAAAATAACTTAGCTATTTTGCCATGTGTTTTTATTTTAATACAACTTAGAATATACCACTTTTTTATTCTGAGCTACAAAATTCATTTGATCATTTCAATGAAAATGTACTGAAGTTACTCATGATGGTGATTATATATATGTTTGTTTACCACCGTTCTATAAATTCTGGCAGAGGAAAAAAAAAAAACCTCTATGAAATTTAGACTATCACACCTTACTACAAGACAGAAATGTTTCGTCAAGTCTCTTTTCTATAAGTAAGCTAGGAGTAAAATGAGTTAAAGGAATTTACATTAATACCCATCTTAAAAACAAAAAATAAGTCTACATTAATACCCATCTTAAAGCAAGACTATCATAGAGTTTTAAACATTAAATATTTTTAAATATATAAAACCAAATAAATTCAGGTGCCAATGAAATGTGAACTAAACCACCTATTACAAACTGCATCTATGAGTTTCAAAGCATAGGCTCAAAAGAACTCTAATTCCTTTCTGAATATGCTTAGCTTATATCATAATTTTTGTATTTGAGTAATTCAAAATATGAAGTATGCATTGGAGTATTAGACGTAGGTCAACAAAAAGACAAATTATAATTAAAAAAGTTTAAACTAAGAAACTGTATCACAAGAGAAAAATGAAAAAAATATGAAAATAATTTACAAAAGCTTCCCAACTTTTAACAATGTTTCTAACAAAGAATCTTAATTTGAGCTTTTCTTCCTTTCCCTATCCAGATGCATTTTCCAGGGGATGGAGAAACATAAAATAAAAAGAAACTAGAAAGAAATCTAAACAATTCACTAAGTAGAAAAACAATCCACAAACTTAAATACAAAATAAAAAGCTATTTCCAAACCTGTACATATCTGTATAAAAACTAAACAATATCATTTTTTTAAGTCTCCTTTTTAATGCAAACCCTTACTATGCACCAATATTTACAACACTTCCCTAATTTGTCATACATCACTAAACTGTGAGACTCTAAGGTATCATATGTCCCATTTGTCTGTAACAGTCCTAGGTGATTCACACTTTCACTCTCAAGTGTTCCAGTTTGGACAAAAAATCATATGGCCATCCTAATTTTTAGAGACTCTTCCTAAATCCCCCAGCACCTGGCACATTATTTAATCATTAGGTTAAGTATTCAACAACTTTTAAAAATTACTTAGTAGATTATGAACTGTTTATCACATGTTCAGCTATATAAAATTTTAATGGCTTATTATCAATATTTAGATGATTTTAAAGCTCTGAAGACAGCTTGTAGTAATTTACAGCTCTACTTTATTCATCTGTCCTGATATAAATGAACTTTTAACACCCATTACCTAAGTGGTCGCTAAAAATGACAAATGAATAGCATATTCAACCGTGAAGGTATTCAGATAAAAAAATTAGTTTGCAATAGTAACTGATTTATTGAGCAAAGGAAAAGTCACTTTTTCTCCTCTAATTATCAAATGCCTTAGTTGGAAGCCTGGCTATATAGGCCACAAATTATTTCTCTACAATGGTCATTTTATTTTTTTCATTTCTCAAAATCACAAGTATAGGCCAAATAACTGATTAAAAATATAAACTGAGAAAAAAACGATAAACTAAATATATGCATCTAAGTCAATCCACTTCTCAAAATCCCATTAAAGCAACAGAAAAGTAATGTATCTAAAAAGGAAAGAAAAAACAGGAGAAAACTGTGATAATTGTGGAAGCCTAATAGATGATTAAGAAGTAACTAATGTAGGAGATCCCAAAAAAAGACAAATACTAAACTGACAAAGCTGACAAGAACCAGTACACTAACACCTCAAAAGGCTTAGGAACTGGTAACCCCAGATGATTCTAAAGTAGGGATAAAAGCAGGTGGTTAACCTGAGGATGGGCTGAAAGCTATTTAAGAAGCAGTTAGATCCTTACTTCCCTCTCTCCAACTCCATCTGTGGGGCAACTTCCCTTCCCTGGTCCTAATCCAAGACTGAAAGCTTATTCTCTAGAGAGTATAAAACAGAGTTTCTAGACTAAGGAATATCAGTTATAGATCAGAATGGAAGTAAAATACACTAAAATTTGTGAGATGAAGCAAATGTGTATATAGTAAAAACAGATATATCCTAGTTAACTTCTCTCACGGGCTCCCATAATATGCTAGCAATCTAATGAGCCGAAGGGGGAATAATCTAAATTCTAACAACAGAGATTCCCCCAAAAAACAACACAGCCAGATCACCAGAGTGATGATGCTCAGGGTTAACAAAACCCATTGAAACGTTCCTTAGAGTTTTAGTTCCTACTCCTTAACATGAGCAGACAATCAAGGATCAGACAATTTGGGAGTCTCTTAACACAAAAAAGTCAAAAAAAAAAAAAAAAATTACATTACAGAAAAAAAAGAAACTATATGAAAGACAACAAAAAACTTTTTAAAACACTGTAAGTACCTTACAAAACACAACAAAAGTATGTGAACAAGACTAGAATGCTACAAAAAGGGATGTTCCCAAAACAAAAAAAGATGATTTAGAAATCAGAAATGCAAAACTTGATGAAAAAGTTGGAGGATAAACATGAGAAAATTTCAACAAATAGAGGAAAAAGAGTTGGAAAGTAGGCAAGATAAAAAAAAAAAAAAAAGGCTAGTCCATGCTATCAAACACTTGAATAGGAGTTCCAGAAACCAAGAGCTGAGAAAAAAGGGAATTACCAATGAAAGAATTCAAGAAATTTCCTCAACAACAGTTTTCAGACTAAAAGGACCTACTGAAATATGCAGATCAATACATAAAACACACCTACACCAAGATACATTATCAGAAATGTCAAAACACTAGAGCTGAAGAGAGGAAGAGATTCCACAACCTTCCAGAAGAAAGTAGCTAACATAAGGGGCCCAGGGTGGGGGAGTGAACCTCTCAACAACACTAAAGTTGGAAAACCATAGAACAACACTTTCAAATATCTGAAGGAAAATGATTTCTAACCCTGAATTCTATGTTCAACTGGACGTGATCCCAATTGGAGAGCAGATTAAATACATCTGCAAACACACAAGATTTAAAAATATATATCGTTGTGTTCCATTTTCTCATGAAACTACTAGAAGAGGTATGTCCCCAAAATGAAGGAGTTAAACCAAAATATTGAACATAAGAATTGCAACACAGAACAGAATCCTCAGAATGGTAAAAGGATAAATGACACCTATGCCATTAGGCTTAGAGGGCTAACACACTAGTCCAACAGGAGCAGACATAAGGCTCCAAGATATTTCTTCAATAAAGTGAAAATGACAGAATACCTGATATGCACAAAAATCTTTAAGAAAGATTAAGACAACTGGCAAAGGAGTTGGGCTATAATTACTGATATGTATGCAGAAAACTGTGTACAAATAAATGTATAAAACTATAAGCAAATGAACAAAACCTTATTAAATTAGAAAGATAAAAAGTTGTAGAGAAAAATAGATGATTTATTAAATAAATCATCTCTGATAGGATATAGAATCACAGTAACATTAAAAAATTACTAATGCTCTGACAAAATTATATAGTAGATAGATGACAAAATGTACTTTTGTGTGATAGGGACAAAAGGAGAAAAGAATACCAAATTTTCATCAACCAGAGAGGGAAGTCAATAAATACTTACATCAGAAAATCAAGAAGTAGCAATATACGTGTCACTTAGACACATGGAAATAAATATCAAAAAAATTAATAAAACCAGCTAAAAGAGTTAATAGAGTTTCCTCTGGGGAAACCAAAAATAAGTAGTGGGGTGGCAAGTACTCGAAACTTATAGAACTAGTCAACTCTTTTAATTATGTGAATGTATAATTTTAATAAAAATTTTTAAAAATTATACCAACAAATTCACATAATCTCAAAATTGATTTTATCAAAATGCTCAGCAAGTTGACAATTTATCAACATCTGTCCCTACCTAAACCTTTGATGTTTCTAGGTAATCTTTGGAAGGATTACCTTGTGCCATTAAACGAGGTGATTTTCTTGGTGATCTCACTGAATTGTCTTCTACTTTGTCCCTCAAATTTCTGTTAGGTAAAATCAGTTCTTCTTCATCAATCGTATCATTGCCACTTTCTTTAACAACTCCTTCGTCCATAATATCGTCAAGACCAACAACTAGAAAAAAACAAAAACAATAAAAAAAATTACTTCTAAAAATATTGGGGACATTAAATACTTAACCGCAGTACAGAAAACACTGTGAGACAGTTTAATGGACTACTATGTAGTCCTGAAAATCTAGGTCTATTCCTAATATATGATATTGCAACTAATAAACTCCCAACTCAGTTTTACAAACTTCTACCTTATGAGGTAACTAGTCAAAGAGAAGATCAGCTATAATCTTTCTTGATTTAACCGCCAATATCGCTCTCACTGTACCTTTATAAACATCATAAGCAACTATACCTGAGTACTCAATTATCCCAATTTTGGTTAAAGTAGTATGAGATTTTAATACCTTGAAAAGCCTGTAATATACGTTCATGCTAAAACCAAAAATTCTAGTTCTAACTGGAATTCTATTACTTAAAGACTTTATGCTACATGTGTGAAAGTATCGTAGATATACTTTTTAAATAATTTTTTTATTTTTCAACTGCATTTAGCATACGATATTAGTTTCAGATATACTTCTGAGTGGTAGTAAACACACACATGGTTGGGAGAAGGCGGGGGAGGTAGTCAGGGAGAGGGGGAGAGGGAGAGAAATGGAAAACACCATGTAACTTCCCCCTCCCCCAAATGTTAGAGAAAATGGTTAGGTTTAATATAGCTATATAATTACGTTCTCCTAGTCAAAAGAGAGGTTCATTTAATGAGATGGGAAGATATGCAAAAGGAATGGGAAATACTGAAGAAAATATAACACTGAAACACTCTACATTTTCATATAATTTATTTCTTTATATAACAAATGTACCTTAACGGACATACAGCAAATCTAAACGTGCAGTTGTATGAAATCTTATTAACAAAATGTGTTTAGATCAGAAGACCTGAATTCAAATCCCTGCTAAAATACTTAAATAAAACTTGATCAAGTCACTTAACCTATCAATTTCTTTATCTCTAAAATGAGAATAACAATACCTGTCCTACCTACCTCACAGGGCTGTTGTGAGGATCAAGTAAGATGATGTATGAGAACTCACTTTGTAAACTTTAGAGCACTATACAAATGTTAGTTATTATCTTCATCCTAGGGGTTAGAAGGAACCTCAAGAAGTTATCTAGTCCTCATCTTTGTATCCAAGTAGAACTTCATTTAAAAGAGCTCAACAAGATAGTGGTCTATCCTAAAATTTAAAGAGAACAAAATTCCTTATAAATACACTTTCAAATGATACAATCTTTTTGAAGAACAATTTGACAACAAACAGAATCACAAAACTGCTAATACACTTTGACTACAAAATTATAAAAAATAGAAGACAGAATGAATTATGAAAAAAAAAAATACTGGCTAGAACACATACTATAATCCTTGTAACAAACAAATGAAATGCATGTGTATGTACATTTAGACACACAGAAAAAAAGATCAGCAGAAAAACAGATGAAAATTAAAACAACAGTCTATAAAAGTATACTTTTTTTTACTATTTTCTCATTTCCTGCCATATGCATGCATTACTCTCAAAAACAGAGTATCACTATGCTATGTACTAAAAGCTTAGAGAAGAATACATTTTGATGGGAAAATTCATCAGGACTCATTTAAGATATAATTAGGGAAAAAACAGGTGGCGAGTTGTTCAGTTAAAAAGCTATTGCACCATGATGGAATACTTATGTTGCCACACATTCACATACATTCTCAAAGAATTTTTAACATTATATTAATAGTTCCACCATGTTTACTTAAAGCAAAATTTAAAACTACTTTTCATCGCAATTTTATAGAAAAGCATATATACAATATATGCATTACAAATATTAACAGATAGAAATGAATAGAGTAGGGACAAAAGCACCATAGCCTTCAGTCACTATCTCCAGTGGCAAGGTGAATAAGGAATTTGGGGCTTTTTTTATTATTGTTATATTGTCTGTGTTTTCCACATTTTTTACAATGAGCATGTATTTTGTATTATAATTAAGAGAGAAAGGAACAATTCAAAAGAGGAAAATAGTCCAGGAGAAAAGTGATTAAAGCCTGATTAATAACAGAGTTTGTTGGCAGGGAGTGAAAAGATACGTTATGAATTTTAGAGCTATAGGATTTAGTAAGCCAGATCCAAAGATCAATTGTTAGGTATTATCTTACTCCATTTTCTATCAGCTTCTGACATAGCTGATACTTCTCCCCTTCTTGAATCCCTTTCTCCTCACTTAGCTCCTGGACATCACATCCTCCTCGCTAGCCACTTCTCAATATCCTTTGATAGACTTCTTCGTGTACATGTCTACATGCTGGAGACATTAAAGTTTCAGTATTCCCATTTGTCTTCTTTATCTCTACTAACTCCTCCCTAAGTGATCTCATCCACTCCCATCTATACTTGGATAACTCCCAAAGTTATTTCCAGCCCCAACTCATAGCTGATCTCCAGAAGAATATAATATGACATCTCCACTAGGTTGTATAACAGGTATCTCGAGCTTAACATACTGAAAATAAATACTGATTCCACCAATTTTCCCTCCCCTCAATAAAACTGCCCTTCCAGGGGTATTCCCAGTAATGGAAAATCCATTCACTCACCCAGTTGTTCAAGCCTAAAATTAAACTATCCTTGGCTCCTCTCTCCTCATATTCTACACCCAAGAAATATCCTGCTAGCTCTATCTACAAAATATACCATTCATCTGACCATTTACTACCTCCACAGCTAACGTTCTACTTCAAATCGCCATCATCTCTCATCAAGACTATAATAGTCTCCTAGTGTCCTAGGTTCCTCTAGTGCCATCACCCCCCACCCGCGCCCCACAAATAGTTTATTCTCCCAGTCATCACTGTGATCCTTCTAATATATTAAGTCATCATGTTACCATTCTTCTGTTTAAGACCCTCCAAACCCTTACCAATATCCCAAAGGGTCCTAAGAAGATCCTCCTCAAACAATTTCTCTGACATATCTCCTCTCTATGACTCAATCAGTACCAATCACACTGGCCTTTCCTGCATACAGGAAAGCATAAGGCTATTTCAGAGTCTTTGTACTTGATATTCCCTCTAACTGGAGCATTTTTCTCCCAGATATGCATATGGTTAACTTTCTTGTTTCATTCGTTTCACTCAAACATCACCTTCTCAGAAAAACCTTCCCTAATGATTTTATCCAAAATAGCACACACTCTCATCATTGCCCACTAATCCTTAGCATACGTACTTTATCCCCTAAGACAGCAGTCCCCAACCTTTATGGCACCAGGAACTGGTGCTCCTATGAGAATCTAATGCCTGATGATCTGAGGTAGAACTAAGGCGGTGATGCTAACACTGGGGAGCAGGTGCACAGGTGAAGTCAGCTCACTCTGCCCACCGCCTCCACTCACCTCCTGCTGTGTGCAGCCCGGTTCCTAACAAGCCATAGACCAGTACCAGTCTGCCACCTGGGGGTTAGAGACCTATGCTTTAAGACATGTTTTGTCATACAATCAAATATTTGTTCATTAACTGTCTTCTCCACTAGAATGTAAGCTCTACAAGTCAGGGACTTTATCTCTTATTTGCTGCTGAAACTTCGAAACCTAGAAAAACCACCTGGTATATAGAAAGACACTCCAGAAATATCTCAATGAAACATTTAAGGGAATGAAAGCACCAGGAAAATGGAAACGTTTATGAGAAAAAAATGTCTCCATTAACCAAAAGATAAATTGGAAATTTAGGAATAAGGTTATGACTTCACTTTTTTGGATATATTTGGATATACTGATGTTTCTTTTGAACATCAAGATAATGTAACATGACAAAAGAAGAGTAAGGAGAATTTCAAGGAATTAGGATCAGGAAAGTTAACTGCTACAGAAAGAAAAAAGGGAGAAAAATACACTAATTGACACAGAAGCAGAGGGTCAAACAACAAGAGGTTAAAAAAGCAAATAAATGAAGAATGGCAACTACAGTCTCTTTAGTTTTAAAAAGTGTAATTGCAAAAGACAGAAAAGATCAGTTAAAGGGATAAAAGATGGTTTTTCTATATAGGTGACAGAAATGGGGAAAAAGGTGAAATAGGCAGAATCACCCTCACAAATAGTGAGATGACGGAATAGGAATGGAGAGAAAATGGGGCAAAAGAGGGAAATGGAGAGAGGGAAGGAGAAGAGGAGGAGAAAATCGATAGAGATCTGAGCATGTTTGTGTGTACTGAGAAATAAGTTATAAAGTAAGTGATGCCTTGAGGGCCCATCATCAGGCAAAATAAATCAACAACCTACAACTGGAATAATACTTAAGACGGCATTTGAGAAGTTTCTCAGAGGTGTTTCCAAGAATACAGCCTTTTGTGTACTCCTACTTCTCCTGGCAAACTATTTCCTTCATCTCAAAAAAGGCCATCTCTACATTAAACCAAGCTCTAGACTGTCTCCAACATTTCCAGGGCTCTCCTGCTCTCCCGCCAACAACTAAAGGACATAATTAACTTCTCGGTGCCTCAAATTCTTTTATAAAATGGAGATACAAGTGGTCACAGGTTTGCTGATGATCAATTAATTTGTATAAAGGTAGTTGGAACAGTATCTGGTACTTAAAAAGCCTCATATTAACAGTTAACTTTTGTTTCAGAGTCTCCCTGCCTGTTCTCAGGGACCTCCCACACCTCCCCCTTCAAGGATTATAAGGCAAACTAAGATTCAGTATCTGATCCAACTTTTATAAAAAGTGGCCAGTCTTATTCAAAACACCCACTAAAATGGGAACTTTGGGTTATGGGAAAAATAAAAGGCAATGTCTTGAATTGTTTAAGAGGTAAGTGTATAGCCAGTTGGGCCATGCAGGAAAAAAACATGTTTCTTTTACTCCCTCCCACATTCCAGAATTAGGTATTATTCTCATTTGGAAGTTTGGGCATAAAATCTATAATCATACTCAGAAATCTTCTTGAGCCTGAATTTAAATCACTTTAAAATTTCTCCAGTCCCCATTCCCAAACGGCCCTAAT